AAAGGGTTTATATGCTTTATCCTATATAATAAAAGCATAATATGCAAATCAACCAAATGGCCGGTGGGCGGGGGGGTGGGGAGGATTGGTGAGCAGGTGGCGCCAGGCCAGCCAAGGTGTGTGCCAGTGGGCAGAAGGAGGGGATGGTGATCGGGGTGGTGGTAACAACCAGCGGAGGAGGATGGTTAATGGGGCGGGGGGCACGCGTGTGCCAGCCGCATGCTGGCCAGCGCAGTCCTGATTGTCCCTCCCAGTTGCCTCCCACAGAGGAAGGCCGGGCTGTGGCTTAGGGAAATCCCCTAAGGGCTTCCAGACTGTGAGAGGGTGCAGGCTGGGCTGAAGGATGAATTTTTGTGCATGAATTTTTGTGCATCAGGCCTCTATTCCTATCTAATAAAGAGGGACTACGCTAACTGACCATCAAACCCTCACAAATGGCGGGGCCCACAGCCAATAAAGAGAGAATATGCTAAATGACTTCCACACCCGCAGAAGATGGTGGCAACCAGTCCCTTTAGCCCTGCCTCATCCAGCTGGAGTCCCCCAGTCTCCTCAGCCCTGCCTCATCCAGTTTCAGTCCTCCAGTCCCCTCAGTCCTGCTTCATTCAACCTCAGTTCCCAAGTCCCCTCAACCCCACTGGGAAGGGAGTTGGGGGCGATCGGATCAGCAGGGGAGGGAAGTTGGGGATGATTATGCTGACAGTGGAGCAGTTAGGCATCAATCAGGCTGGCAGGGGAGCTAGGTTAGGGGGCTATCAGGCAGGCAGGCAGGCAGAATAGTTAGGAGCCAGCAGTCCCAGACTGTAAAAGGGATGTCCCCCGAGGGGTCCAAGATTGGAGAGGGTGCAGGCTGAGCTGAGGGACACCACCCCTCATGTATGAATTTTGAGCATTGGGCCTCTAGCATATATATAGAAGATGAACAGTCACCCCTGATTACCAAATCTTGCCTGTTTCCAGCTTTGACTCAAGTTAGAGCAACACCAGGATTCACAATGCAGTGAAAACAGCATGGAGTTGGAGGAAACCAGACATGATTCAACTCTGCTACTACATGCCACCTCTGTCACGTTGGGCAAGGGACTTAACCCCACATCTCAGTTTTCTCAACAGTAAAATATGAAGATATCTTCCATATAAAGTAGTTGTGAGGATTAAATGAGATAATGTAGGGAAATTGTACAGATGTGTGATGATTAATAAGTACAGTCTGGTAGTAATTAGGCCTTTGTAGATAGATATATGTATATATGACAAATGTTATAAAAGAAATATAATTAAGCCCTGCAGGTTAAGTAAATGAGCAAGCATTTGAAAAGAATGGTAGCAATTGAAAGAACATTAATACAATGATGAGACATTTCTTTCAAATTGATATCAACTATACTGCATACCAGAGGCAAAAAGTAAAAATTGGATCACTTTCATATTGAGGGTTAACTAATGATTTCCTGATGTAACACTTGGAATAATGGAATTTTTTAAAATAATAAAGCTTATAATATAAATTATTAGGAAGCTTCCAGTGACTTAACAGGGAAACTAATGAGAGCATTTGTTAGCTATTTTTTAATTATGTTATGTGAGAATGATCATTATAAAACAGGAGCTCACAGTTAGTGAATACTTCAATTCCAAGTTTGGTTCCTGTACTTTACATAGATCAGTTGTTTCATTTCATGCCTACAACAATCCCATGAGGTAAGCACTATTATTGTCTCCATTTTTCTAATGAGAAAACAAGGACTAGAGAGATTAAACGATTTTCTTAAGGTTGGGAAGCTAGTAATAGGCAAAAACTCAACAATTATGCTCTTTACTGCATCATTGTATAGCATTCATATGCATCGCACGATAAGTTTAGCTTTTTGCCTATAAGGAAGAGAGGGGGAGGGGAACTAGTATTACCACCATGGCAGCCTGGATAGAGCATCCCACTGCATTTCTCCACAGCACTGTAAGAGCAAGACTAGTGAATTCCATCTTTCAAAAAGCTTGGTGAACCCAACAAAATGTTTGAAACAAATATGAAATTTAATTTTAGACATAGCAAGTTCAAATCGCTAGATATCAGCAAAGAACAGAATTTGTTCTACCATTGTAAACAGTGTAATCTCCAAGTGAAAAAACAATTTTCAAGGAAGTAGACACATAATTTGAAGATACTTTATTAAGATCAAAGGTTTTCCATTACATTTATTTATAAATTTTTACTAGTCAAAAAGAAAATAAATAATAAAAATCTATCTTCAGGAATCTTTGAACAACATTGTTTTGTAAATCTGAGAAGTTTCCATGTTCGTCAATTTTAAATTATTATCATTTAGATATATACACATAATACCAGGAATGTCAGCCTTAAAGAATAAAAAACATCTAATATATTGATAGGTAAAATAATGGTAAAATATTATATTTCAATTCCACCTTTTTATTTTTAACTGACTCTCATTTTTAATCATGAGAATATACAAATATCTTTTTGATCTTGGATTAAATATATGGATTTAAAAAACATTCCACTTCTCTCAAATAGTGGCTGACACTCTGTCTTGGGAGCAAGTTACTTTAAGAACTAGTACAGTGAGGTGCACAGCCCATCGCTTCCTTGCTGGAGGAGTTTGGGGTGCAGACAGTATAGAATCAAGAGCCAGTGTGACAGTTATCAACCAGCCCCTTGGAGCCGGCACTGCCTTATTAAACTGTAACCATATCCTTTGTAAGCATCAAGTGGCTATGTAAACTTCACCTGCCAGACCATGTATACTACCTGGAAAAAGGATTTCTCAAGTACCCCCTTTACACTATTTTCAAAAATATTATTTAGCTCTAGTCTAAAAAGGAAGGAAGGTTTGGACAGTTACATTTTTATAACACCTCCAGTCCCCAGAAGAAAAAGGATTTAGTCTCCACCATCTTACACTATCTCTACCCCCACAGTAAAGAACTGAGACAGTTATCTGCAAATAAAAAAAAAATCCATGTACATATTTCAGAAAAAAGAACTTGAATTGCCAAATTATTTATATGGTTGCCTAAATTATATATTTCCCATTACTCTTTGTATAGGATATTGTTATCAATAGTCAAACCATTTAAGTAAGACTTGACCAGCACACAATCTTGAGTATGGCTTTAGGATTGGATTTGGCAATCCTTCCCCCTCTTTTTAAAAAGTATATTGCTTACTATTTAGTTGATAAACATAGAAATTATTGTTTGAATTATGTTGTTAAGTGATACTTAGTCTGATTATCTAATATGTTGGTGTGTGTGTCAGGATCATTTTGTCTCTGTTTCTAAAATGAAATCTGACATGTCTGAAGGAAATCCAGTGGATAATGCTACCAAATGTCCAGTGCACATATCACACACTAGTGAGTCTATCTGTGTATGAGTAAAGGTCAAATATTTACATGGAATGCTGACCCTGACTTATAAAACTACTATTTTAAGTTATGCCATCTATACATATAATTTATTTTCTGAATATCCCCATTTAATTATTAAAAATATGCCTCATATAATTCACAAGTATATAAACTTTTACTGCATTCTATTTTTCTTTAAACATGACATCTAAACTCTCTTTTATAAATCAACAAAAACCTTTCTTTTTTTCTGGCTGAAAGTCACAGATGCAAAGATTTTTTGATTGGCAGGATCTGACTGCATGCAAGAATGACAGGACTTATTCTAATATAACTTATGAACATTTCTACTATATAATTTATTTGCTGGAGATCAGTAGTATAAAAGAAAATAAGAGGTTCCATCTAAAAACTTATAACAGCTTTTTAAAAAATTCTTATAAAATGGCAAGATTAGGGTGGTATCTGGCCAGTATTAAGAATTATTTTGATGAAGAAATAAGTTAACAATACATGACAAGTTTTCTGAAGTACATCTTTGTACAATTTAAATATATGGTTATAAACTGTGCATATTTAACATTTCTGTCTTTAACTATATCTTCTTTAACTATACCAGAAATATGTCAAACCCTTGCTTTTAGAATAGGAATCACATTCTTATAATTTATTGGGAAAATCCAAAGCCAATCAGAAAAACAAAACACTTTTTGGTGACTCTAGAAATGATACCTAAGGATATACAAATAAAAATGTCCTTTTGTAATCATTTCTTGCATCAAGATATAAACATTTTAAAATCAATTCTATAAGTAAAAATTTTAGGTTACATATATAATAAAATTTAACTCTATCTTCCCTTATTAAATATGTATTGAATACAGATATGTACTCATAAGTCCTCTTAAGTTATAACAAGAAGGCCATAAGACAGGTTTTCACTAATTCTTTTAAGAATGATTTTTAAATACACAAACTAGTCCTCAAATAATGTCCTTTTGTTCAACATAAGTTTCACTATAACATTGATGAGATGCCACAGGAACTTAACTCCTGCTAATATCAATTAGCTTATGGTAAAATTGGTTTCCTTATAGGTCATTAAACACCCACTATCAATGACATTAAATGAGGACTTACTGTACTGCATATCCATAAGAAAAAGCTTGCACTTTTAGAATACAAAGAGGACCCCTATGATGATCTATCCAAAACCTAGCAAAGCTGTCCTGTCTGCCTGGAGCTGCTCAAGGCTGCTGAATTGATTCTTTGCAAGTGCTAATGAGCAGATTTGATGGCAGCGACCATATTTGAGACCAGCTGATCTCTAATATTTATTCTCTAGCTATGTGTCTCTAAAAAGGTCAACCTCATCTCAGAGACAGAGCTATATGTAAAGACAGAAAGTTCAAAACTGCTCAGAATACAGTACTGAAATTTCAATTTTGGATCTTATATTCAAACATTGTGTTTGAAATAAGGCTATAAAAAGATACAAAACAAAACCAACATTCAATTTTAACCAAGATTGCACATCTATGACTGATATAGATTTTTTAAAAATACCCTACCACCAAAATGGTAACTTGATCTAATCATTACTCTACAATCAATGGCTATTTCCCTTAGTTATGAATGTAACCAGCTCACTGGGACCCAATGAGTCTCTGTCTCCAATTTATCAAAGGTTGTTTTTAGTTCTTTGAATGCCATGGTGAGATCATCATTAACTATAATTTTGTCAAAGAGATGACCATACTGACTTTCCATTATCTGCGCTGATTTAATCATTTCTTGAAAGTCTTCTTCCTACAAAAGGAAGTATTTTTTTAAAGTGGTTAACCAGACAATTACATCACTTCACATCAATGCAAACATTCTACCACTGGCTTATCTAATGCTGTTTTGTGTCCATTCTCTCACATCAGCCAGAAACGAAAATTACCCTTTTTAATTACAAGTTCTTCAGAAGTCATGATTCCTAATATTGCTTCTCTGATTTGCTTGTACCTAAACTGATCTGACAAGAGTCAAAACTTCTGTCTTACCTGAAGTTCAGGATAATCAGTCACTAACTTATTATAGGGATATCTCAGTGTCAAAATAGTTATGAGGGAGGGAGGGAAAGAACCATTTATGTGATGCTGCATTATTTATGCTTATTCATTGCAAAGAATTTAGAGCATAAACTAGTTTTTCAGAGTTGGATACATTTATAAAATAATAGTTACCAAGTCCTTCCTGTGCTTCATTGGAAGTGAATCAGAGGCTCATCATACTCACATTTTTGAGCCAGGAAATATTTTAGTTAATTATGTAACTCAAGATTATATATAACCATATACATAAATGTGCGCTAAAATCCTAGGACTATGCTATCATTTATTATCTCTACTGAGAAATGTTTAAGTTTATAAATAGTACAATAACTCTTTATACGGCAACATACAAATTTCAAGTCCACATTTCAATGTCACAGGATATTTCACAACAAAAATTTAACTTTAGTGTTAATCTAGAGCCCTCAGTAATATCATATGATGATATCTATTTAACATGGATATGTATTGCCAGTATTTTGTAAAAAGATACTTATCAAATACTGGGAATCAAAAGTATAATTTGTGTTTTGTTACCACAATTTATAGTGAACAAATTAACATAAAGTTAAAAATGAGGGAGGAGGAAGTTAAGAGAGAGAGAGAGAAAAAGCTCTTGACATTTAATTTATTTGCTCTTTACTTTTTATCCTAAGGTAGAATACATTATCATAAAGATAGAAACAAAAAACAGAAAATGAAAGGCTTTGCCAGAAATCACTGTAATCATTAACATAGCGCAGTTGCCATTTGTAATAACATTCATAGGAAATACAAATATTGAATAATTACATGAGTCTACTATGCCCAAAATGATGTTTTTTTCTTTATTATGCTAAATATGCAAGAAGACAAAAAAGGAAAATTATTAAAATTTTCATCTAGATTATTAAGGATTATTAAGGATTAAATGCAATTTAGTTTGGCATTTTTCCCTTGAAAAATAAGAGTAGTCTGAAAACCAACCCGTCTAACTTTTATATAAATGGCCTACAAAAAAATGTATAAGTATGCCAAATAGTTTTGAATCAATTTAATATGAAAATCTATTCATGGAAACACAAAAAGCAATTACAGTACAATCACTCAAAATGTCTGTACCTAAATACAATTCTATAGTGTAGATTTTTTGGATCATACTTCATCTACTATAGTTTTCCTAAGATAGTCGCTACTGCAAAAGTGATTTTAACTACTGCTTATGTATTTTCACTAAAGCATCATCATACTTACTGTAAAAGGCTTTGCAGTACCCTGGTCATCTCTACTTGAAATAATCTTTGCATTTTTTCTTGTCTCCCTCAAACGCTCTATCGATGGAGGCTTTATAAATATCACATAGGGCTTAAATTCTAGTGTCCTTAAATGCTTCACTGTCTGCAAGGAAGAGAAGGTTGTTTTTATATTTCTCCATAATGTCATGAGCAATTTTTACAATAAAACAAAATTTTCTAAGGAGAAAAATTTCTTAAAATTATTTCCTAGTCAAGGTCAGTTGAACTTTCAATATATTATTCAATCAGTTGTTGACAATTAGATGTAATAAATCCCCCTGTAAAGATGATAAAGCATGTAACTTGCTTTCAAAAAGGTTTTGAAATATGCCTGAATTAATATTGAACTGAAGCAGCTAGAAATACCATAAAACTGACTTTTAAATCAAGTCCCCTAAGACTTGGATAACGTTCTGCACTCAAAAATCTTCCAACCATTCCAGTCTCTTCCTGACTTCAGAGACAGGTTCTCCTCTTTCCTTCTACTCTTCAAAGCGCTCCAAAAGGGCAAGCCTCCTGCTTTCCATGAAGCTTGTCAACACTCTTCCAGCCAATATTTTGTTATTACACTGTAAGTGACAGGGGACAGACGGGCCGGTTAGGCCCTGAGAATTAGAGTTTAAACTCCACAGAGGGAGTTGGGAACACTTGGTCCCAGGATACCAGCAAAGAGGTTCTGCTCAAGCAAGAATGAGTTCCGTTCATCGCTGGTGCTGGAGTCAGCTGCCCTACTGACTCCTGACTGAGTTGCAAAGGCCTTCCCCAGGCCATCCTGGCTGGTCCTTGGAGGCTTTTCATCCTGGGGTGCAGCCATCCCTGAGGTGAGAATCTGGCCCCTGGTGATGAGGACAACACTGTGGACTAGGTTTCTGCTGGAGGCAATATGCTGTGACAATTGAATGGCTTCATCCACTGGTACCCTCAATCCACAGTGTTCCTGCGACCTCCCAGGCAGAGACCTGCCTGACAGCTGCAATAGGGCCTCATGCCATGGAGCTCCTGTGGAATGCCTGCAGCTCTAGTTATACCCAAACCCCACATCTAGGATATATACAGAGCCTAGGACGAAAATGGCCGTTGTTAAAATTATAAATATTTACAATATATAAGAATACATATAATGCAACATTAAAAAAAATATATAGAAAAGAAAGTTTAAGAGACTTGGCAAAAACTGAATATAAACAAGACTTGCAAACAGATTTGGAGGCTTTTCTTACTCCTCTTTCTAACAATAATATAGGCTTTCAGTTCACCAAAAATTTCTCAAATCGTTTTGAAATGCTTTTGTCATCTTAGCAAAACCACATCTATGCCCCAAGGGAGTAGACTTCAGATTCACTCTTGTAGTGTTCGCATCAAGCACAGTGGATTGCATGGGCTGGAAGGGTAGTGAATAGTTCACTGTTTACTTACATGAGGTTGAACATCCAACAAGCAAACTTTATTTTTAGCTAGGACAGACCGAACTGAGTCTATACTTGTGCCATAGTAGTTGTTTTTATATTCACCATATTCAATAAACCTGTAGAAAATTAGAAATGCATCAGAATCATTTATGAATTCAATATAACTCATATATGTAAAAGATATTCTTGCTGAACATGAAAATTTTTTACTGTTTTAATAAAATAAATAGAGCCAAGTACTCCGGAATGTCAATTTAAAAAATCTTTTATTTTACATTTTTCAAATCAGTAACACTTGCTTGTATTACACTTAAGCAGACAAAAAGTATTTTAGTCCAGCAGTACACTAATGTTTTCCATCACCTCTTTTTCAGAACTAATGCAATGCTATAAAACAGTGAATAAGACAAACAATAGAAACTACTGAAATTTCACTGTGCACTACAGAATAACCAGCTTTAGAACCAGAGGAGAAACTGGTTGGTGGCTAATGGAACCAGGGCAGCCGATTATGTGCTATAAAAACATAATCGCTGTGCCAAACACGAAAAAAAGCATTTTGATGTTTCAATAAAATTCCACACTTCTGTATTAAAACACACATTGCTCTCTCTAGTACCCTAAAGTAGTTCAAGCTTAAGCAAATGGAAGACCTGGGGAGAGGGCATGTAGGGCTAGCTAGAGGATATGCTTCAAGCAAGATGATTAACATTATTTCAATTTTTTGAAAAGCCAAATATTTATATAGAGAGGTATATATGTAGGAAACTGTGGAACTAGGGATCTATTACATAGCTGTTGGTTTTTAAAATAAAATTGAATCCAAATTATATGTTAAAATTCAAATAGCAGGGGGAAAGAACCATAATAAGACTAGAACAGTGGTTCTCAATCTTTTTAATGTTGCGGCCCTTTAATACAGTTCCTCATGTTGTGGTGACCCCCAACCATAAAATTATTTTTGTTGCTACTTAAAAACTGTAATTTTGCTACTGTTAATGAATTGTAATGTAAATATCTGTGTTTTCCGATGGTCTTAGGCATCCCTGCTAATTGAGAACTGCTGCTGTAGAGAACTGCTGCTTAAAAAGACTGAGGACCACTGCACTAGAGCAAGCTTCCCTCATTATTAAAAACAATTCCTATACATTTATCTTACCAGAAACATAGCAACTCTAGCCTATTAAAAAATTACAACCGAAGATTGCTAATAAGTACTTATTACTACTAATTACCATCTTTTAATTGATTTTTAATTGATTTCAAAAATTATAAAAATTAAAATATATTTCAAATGGAAGGGAACCCTCAGTTGTCTAAAACTGGATATATATAGACATACTGAAAAATAGTCACACAACCCAGCTGGTGTGGCTCAGTGGGTGAGCATTGACCTAGGAACTAAGATTACTGGTACAATTCCTGGTTAGGGCACATGCCTGGGTTGCAGACTAGATCCCCAGTAGGGGGCATGCAGGAGGCAGCTGATCAATGTTTCTCTCATTGATGTTTCTATTTCTCTATCCCTCCTCCTATCTTTCTCTCTAAAAAAAATCAATGAAGCCCTAGCAGGGTTGGCTCAGTGGATAGAGCATCGGCCTGTGGACTGAAGGGTCCCGGGTTTGATTCCAGTCAATGGCACATGCCTAGGTTGTGGGCTCCATCCCCAGTAGGGGGTGTACAAGAGGCATCCAATCAATGATTCTCTCTCATCATTGATGTTTCTATCTCTCTCTCCCTCTCCCTTCCTCCCTGATATCAATAAAAAATATTAAAATAATAAAAAATCAATAAAATCATATTTTTTTAAAAAAACATGTAACACAAAACTATAAAAAATGTCCACTTACTTGTTATTTTGCACATCTGTCTCAAACAAATGCTTGGAGATGAAAATATACTCAACACCATCACTCTCCTGGCTTCTTCTTGCTCTGGTAGTATCTGTGATTTAATTAAGAAAACTTTAGAAAAGTCTACATCAGCCACCCTAAAAAAAATTCAAAAAAGAAGCCACCCTGTATTTAATTAAAGTCATTTTCTTAAATAAGATTAAAACCTTATAAAAGGCAAATTAGTTAATAAACTATAGCAAAATGCCATTAATTTAGATTTTCTACTAATATTAAAATTATATTGATTTGAATGTGTATTCAAAATTAAATTGTATTATACCTGTTCTGTTACTTATTATTTTAAAGGTACTCATATGTTGATTAAATAAAAATGCTACTTCCCCCCTTGAGAAATAATTGTTGCAAATAATATACTTATTATTTTTATTCACTGGTCTTTACTTATGGAAGCAAATCTAATGCCCATTAGGGTTATAAGATAAACTCTGAAATTATTTTACTATCTTTCATATATATCATTGTTTTATTTTACTAACTAAATGAAGTCATAGACATTTATGTGCTACTCATTCCTCCTTTGCAAAACTAAAAACATCTTCTTGGAATACTACTGAACTTCCAAACTTTCAATAGCTTTGGTTAAAATATCTTCTACTTAATTATAATGGAGTAGGAAAATACAGGATTAACTTGAAACAAACAAAAAAGAAATCTAAGGAATTGCAGTGCTGACAAGGCAAGTGGAAAACAGACTACTGAAACATTGCTGCTGATTAAACTGTTTCTATAAAAACTGGACCCAAAACAACTATGTGAATACTCTAAAAATAAATACAGCTGGTAGATTGTGAAGGAGAGTCAACTTGCATGGGGAAGAATTTAACCATTATTTCTTTTTCTTTTTTGAAATATTTATCTTTATTGTTGAAAGTATTCCAGATGTTCCCCCTTTCTTACTACATTGACCCTTCCACACCAAAAGTGAGATCATGTGATACTGTCTTTTTCTGCCTGGCTCATTTTGCTTAGCATATCACTCTCCAGGCACTTCCAAGCTGTCTCAAATGGTAAGAGATCCTTCTTTTTTACAGCTGCATAGTGTTCCATTATGTAAATGTATCTTAGCTCTTTTATCCACTCATCTACTTGATGGGCACGATTGTAAATGACACTGCTAGAACACAGGGGTGCATATGTTCTTTTAAAATAGTATTTTGGGTTTCTTTAGATATATTACTAGAAGTAGGATTGTTGGGTCAAAAGGCAGTTCCATTTTTATATATTTGAGGAAACTCCACAAGCTATAGCTGCATTCCCACCAGCATTGTACTAGGGCTCCCTTTTCTCCATATCCTTGCCAACACTTGTCATTTGTCGGTTTGTTGATGGTAGCCATTCTAGAAGGTGTGAGGTGATATCTCATTATCGTTTTAATTTGCATCTCTCTGATGAATAATGATGTGGAGCATATTTTCATGTCTCATGGCCATTTATATGTCCTCTTTGGAGAATTGTCTATTCAGGTCCTTTGCCATTTTTTAATTGAATTTTCTGTCTTCCTTTTATTAAGTTTTATGAATATTTCATATATTTTGAAAATTAACCCCTTATTAGATATATCATTGGTAAATATATTCTCCCATACAATGGGCTCCCTTTTTATTTTGTTGATTGTTTCTTTGCTGTGCAGAGCTTTTTTAGTTTAATATAATTCCATTTGTTTACTTTTTCCTTTGTTTCTCTTGCCCTCGATTATGTATCAATGAAAATTCTGCTATGTGAGATGTCCGAACTTTTGCTGCCTAGTTTTATGAGTTTACAACTTAAGTCTCATCCATTTTGAGTTTATTCTTGTATATGGTATTAGTTAGTGGTCTAGTTTCATTTTTTTGTATGTATCCATCCAATTTTCCCAACACCATTTATTGAAGAGACTGTCTTGACTTTATTGTATGCTCTCCTTCTTTAACAAGTATTAATTAATCATAATAGCTTGGGTCGATTTCTGGATTTTCTGTTCTGTTCCATTGATCTATATACATGCTCTTGTATCAGTGCCAGGAAGTTTTGATTACAATGGATTTGTAGTATTATTTGATATTTGATTTTGTGACCCCTTCTACTTTGTTCTTCTTCCTTTTTAGCTCCATATAAATTACTGAAGTATTTGTTCTGTATCTGTGGAATATGCCATTGGTATTTTAATAGAGAATGCTTTGAATCTATAGATTGTTTTGTGTAGTATAAAAATTTTAATGAGGCTAGTATTTCCAATGCATGAACATGGTATATGCTTTCCGCTTGTTTGTATCTTCTTCTATTTATTTTTCCAACGTCTTGCATTTTTTTCAAGTATAGGTCTTCTACTCCTTGGTTATATTTATTTCTAGGTATCATAGATTTTTTGTTGCAATGGTAAATGGGATTGTTTTTTTAGTTTCTCTTTTTGAGAGTTCATTATTAGTGTATAAAAATTTCATTGATTTCTGGATGTTAACTTTGTATTCCTGCTACTTTGAATTCATTTATTAAATCTCATAGTTTTTTGGTGGACTAGTTAGGGTTTCCTAAGTATAATACCATGTCATTTGCAAATAATGACAGTTTCACTTCCTCTTTTCCAATTTGGATGCCATTTATTTTTCCTTCTTGTCTGATTGCTATGGCTAAGAGTTCCAGTATTATGTTGAATAAGAGTGGTGACAGCAGGCATTCCTGTCTTGTTCTTGTTCTTAGAGGAAACGTTTTTAGTTTTTGCCCATACAATATGATGTTAGCTATAGATTTGTCACATATGGCCTTTATCATGTTGAGTTATGATCCTCCTATTCCCACTTTGCTAAAGGTTTTTTTTTTTTTTTTTTAAATAAAAAATGGTTGCTGGATTCTATAAAATGCTTTTCCTGCATCTATTGATATGATTATATGTTTTTTAACTTTCATGTTGTTTATGTAATGTATCACATTTATTGATTTGTGAATGACTAGAACTCCTCACCTACTTCACTCTTCACCTACTTCCTAACAAAAACATCAACAAGGAAACAGTGACCCTAAATGTCATACTAGATCAGACAGATTTAATTGACAATTACCAAACATTTCACTTCAAAGCTACAGAATATACACTGTCAAGTGACCCAGGACATTTTCAAAGATAGATCACATTTTAGGACACAAAATAAGTCTTTACAAATTCAAGAATAATGAAATCATATCAAGCGTCTTCTCAGATCACAATGCCATGAAGCTAGAAATCAACTACAATAAAAACACTCAAGCCCAGCCATGGTGGTTCATTGGTTGAGTATTGACCTATGAACCAGGAGGTCATGGTTTATTCCTGATAAGGGCACATGCCTGGGTTGCGGGCTCAATCATAGCAAAGTTTTAAGAAGTGAACTGAGATTAGAATACACAAGTATCACCTTACTCTATGAATAACAAAAGTACAGAACATATCCAAACCAATATAGTAAAGGCTTAGAGAACTGAGCTAAGAGTTGAAGTACGCACACAAGTATGACACTAATCCCTGAACTACAGATGATAGGGCAGACTCAAACCAACAAAGCAAAATTTAGAGAACTGAAGTGACATTTAGACTATAACTCACATAAAAGGACAGAACTTACAGCCTAAACACAAACTGATTATTTGCTAAAATAAAACATAACATTTTCCAGAATATTATAACAGGATCTGGAGTTATTGATATAACATTGAATTCATAATATCCAGAATGCGGTTTAAAATTATTCAATATAAAAATAAATAAGAACATATGACCAATTCGCAAGGGGAAAGATAACAGATGGCAACTCTCATAGACCCAGAAGTAAGAACTATCAGAGAAAAGCTTTAAAGCAATGGTTATAATAACTGTGCTTCACTAGGTAAAGAAAACACTGAAATAAATTAAAATATGAATTTTAACAGATTATAAAAATGAAAGTTTAGAACTGAAATATACAATATCTTGCAGAAACATCATTAGAAAAATGTTTCTAAACTGATACCTTAGTTTATAATGAATATTTTTTTTAGAAATCTCAACTGAGGTACCCTGAGGACAAAGAAGTATACTTTGAAACCTATGAAAACACTTCAATGTGATGAGTGCCTTCCTGCAAAACCCCAAGTGTGGTTGATTGACAGTGCCTAAACCCAAACTATCAAGATATGAGAATCCACCAAGTATTTGGTATTTACTGCAATACCTTATGTTAACTATTTTATTTGAATTTCCTTTTGAAAGATTGGTTATATTAATGGTCAGTTGGATTTGTTGTTGATAACCTCTAGCCTTAAAACAATATTAATGTAGCTTTCTCTGATGCAGCTTATCAAGGATGAAATTTCCCACAGAGAAGCAAGCAGGGGCTTGGCCACCACTTTGTTTAAAAGCAACTGTGAATGTTTAATACGGCCTCAAGGACAATTTTAAAAGATCATATAATTTTTCAACCATTTTGCCCAAGAGAAATAGTATTTAACTGATTTAGTGCCCCTTTAAATAGCCTTTTGAAATTGAAATAATTATAGAGTCACAAAAAATTGTAAAAAATGGCACCAACCACCCCTCAGCTTCCTCCAGTGAGGAAGGCTTTAGTCTTCCATAACTGCAGTGCATGTCAAGACCAGAAAATCAACATCAGCAAACTCCAACTGACTAAACTACCAAGAATTCCTATTTAACATTTAAAAACCTAAAGTATGATAGACAGAAAAATTCTCACGTAAGCTTTGATGACTTTTCAGATTGAACACACGCAGGTAACCAGCATGCGAGCAAGAAGCAGATTTGCCCGCGCTCCAGAATCGCCCTTCCCGTCTGCCCCCTCAAGATTTCTAACAGACACAGGCGCACTGCTTTTGTTGTTTTTATAAAACAGAGCCATACTGCACATTCTCTTTTATGTCTGCCTTCTTTCATTCACCATGATGTTGCTGGGGTTCATACATATTATTGCATGTAGTAGCATATTGTTACAGTATCCCAGGGTGTGGAAATACCATCATTTATTTAACCAATCCCCTACTAGTGGGCATTTGGATAGTTTCCAGTTTTGAGCTTTTATGAATAGTATTTCTAAGAGTATCCAAGTACACATAATATACATTTCTGCTGAGTGTGTAATAGGAGTGGAATTGCTAGGTCACTAGATATGTGTGTGCTCAGCTTTAGTAAATAGATATGGCCACTTAATTTCTCAAAGTAGTTGAATTAATTTACACTCCCACCAGCAATGTATGTTGAGTTCCATTGCTCCACAATATTTCAGTTTACCCATTCTGGTAAATGAGTTAAGAATACTGGTAGAATAACCAAAGCAGTAATTTTTCTCTAACTAATCAAAACTTTATCTAAAGTATTTTATAAAGCAAAACAATCTAAAATTCCAAAAATGCTCTTAAAACAACTTATGTGATTAATCAAATCACACTGAGTTGATGGTGTGGCTATATTTGCCAAAGATATCTGATATTATGAATTGCCTGGGATGGTTGCTGAAAGTACAGATTTTCAGACCATCTGTGTGATCTCCTGAGGGAGAACCTCTTTGGAAAGACCTTGGCATCTTTTCAGAAGAACCCCTAAGGGATTCTTATTGTTAGGCAGGTATGGCAAATACTGCCTTAGGGGAATCTTTTGACATTAACTGTTTTAAATTACTACTTTGGGGATTTCTTTGGAAAGTCCCAGCCTCAGAAACTTTCTGCATGTTGTCAAGTTCTATAATAACTTTAGAGGCAAATATTTTAATAAACTGAGGCCAAAGTACCTTGCCCTCGATCTTTTAGTCATAGCAAAATCATTAGAGAAGGTTATGTTTGATAGACAGCATTATTGATAGTTCCAGTCTTCAAAAGAAAACAGTTTTTCCTACTAACTGGGCTACAAGAAAAGAGAATTTGTAGTTTGAAAGGATCGCACAGTATTATATAGGAGGCAGAACATGAAAAGTGATTCAATAAAACCTGGTTTCAAATTTAAGTGCAACTAATTCCTACAGAACTCTGAGTGAGTAAAGTACCCTTTCTACCTTGATTTCTTCTCTAAAATGGAAATATCAGTTGTCTTTACTGCTGTTGGCAGCACAAAATAAAGACAAGAGATGAGTTACACAGTTGGAAATTAATAAAGTCATTGTTTTCTTTTGTAATATTGTTTTCCATTCCCTTTTGTAATTGCTTACCTATAAGCTTCACTAAGGGAATGTTTTGTAAAATTTTCTAATGACCCATATATTGCAACTCAGCTTTTGTAAGAGAGGTGAATAATTAAAGTAAAAGAAAGAAAGAAAGAAACTGTTTAATTCCACATTTTCCTTTACTTTCATCTCTGTTGATGGAAACTGTCAGTTCTATAACTTATGGCTGAAAATGATTACAAACAATAATTTGGAAAAATGTAGTAACAAGGAATAACTTGAGGTAATAGAAAACTATAATTTTAAAATAAAGTTGAACTCTTCCAAAACTAGAGAACATTGCTGAGGGCTATATACAAATGGCTTTAGTACTGAAACCATTTGAAGAAAGCCAACATTTCAATTTAGTCTTTTAGATGACTTTCTAACATCAACATATTAAGTAGTCAAATGGCATTTATTCTGATGATCAAAATGCTTCCAGAATCACATTTTATTTGCAAGAATGCCTGTGAAAACAAAACCGCTTTCATAAAAATAGATCTAATTCTATGTACAGAAAAGAAGCTTACTATATTTGGCTTATATGGCTATGAAAGGCCCATTTCACACTATCTGCCAATTACTACATATAAAAAGTAATTAAGAAGGTTTATATTATAAGAAGCCTCCTTCAGCTCTGTGCGGTTTGGTCCTTCTAATCTTAAAGCCGGGGAAAACTCTGGAAAACATTAGCACTTATTTTAGGAAATAGAATAGCTAGACTTATATTTAAAAAATTTTTTGTAAATAATTTAATGTCATACGTGTATTAAAATTCATCATAAATATTGAGCATAAGAAAGCTATAATTAACAAAAATTCAGGTCAATGATCTGTATAAATCTAGGGCAAATCCTTCAACTGTTATCTCGTGCCTCGGTTTCCTTCTAAGTGAAAAGTGGGTAATGTCACTACATACTTCACAGGGCTGCTGTGAGTCTAGATGGGAAATGCTCAGAAGAGTGCTTGGTGCCATGCTATGTGGGCACTGAGTGGTCATTAGGAGAGCAGTCCTAGGAGCTCTGAACAGGACAGAACTTACGGGGCACTGTCACACCATAGTGCTGTGTATCACTCATCAGCAGCTTTCGTTTCAGTTCATTCAAACCTACACCTACAGGACCTGAAAAACAGAATAATATAAATTCATTACTATACAAAGTAGCATGTGAACATTTCTATACTTAACACGCATCCATAGACATAGAACGTGGTTCTTCTTTACATGCATCCCAAATGAAGAGATTCTTTAGTTGATTTGTACATAAGAAAAAGCTAGTTGTTTTGTTGCGATTTTTTACTTTTAAAATTGTATCCCCCACCTTCCCATGAAAAGATTAGAGATATGCTTTAAATGAAACATACGTAAGAATATCTGCATATATTACCAAGTAATGATATCCAAAAGAGACTAAAAATAATATGTTCACCTAAAAAAAACAAAAACAAAAACAAAACCCCAGAATTTTTCAAACTATTATCTACCATCTGGATAGTGATAATTTCAATTTTTAATGTTTTTAGATCTAGTTAAATAAAATCTTTAAATTTAAATTTTATTTTAGATGCAAATCTAATGATGCATTTTAAATCTGCAAAACTATCAGCCACATTTACATTTGTTAAGATCTTCTCCTACAATATGTATTTTCAGTTGGTCCTTAAACATTTGAAAACTTGTGTAGAGCTTCCATATTTAAATCAAGCAATGAATATATACTATACACTTACAATGAACCAGGCATATAGTAAATGCTGTGGAGAATCAAAGATGATAAAATAACTGATTTCTTTCTTTTCTTTTCTTTTAATCCTCACCTGAGGATACTTTCCCACTGATATTTAGAGAGAGTAGAAAAGAGTGGGAAAGTCAGAGAGGAACATCCATGTGAGAAAAACACGTAGACTGGTTGCCTCCTGAACAAGCCTGGCCAAGGGCAGGGCCAGGGAGGAGCCTGCAACTGAGGTATGTGCCCTTGTCTGGAATCAACCCAGGACCCTTTGGTCCATAGGCTGATGCTCTATCCACTGAGCCAAACAAGCTAGGGCAGACTCTGTTTTCAAAGAAAGAAACTGAGTTAAAGGAGTAATAGGAAATTATTAAGAACGAGATTAAGGCCCAAAACAAAGAGCAGCTTCAAATCTGAGTCAAATCAGAAGTCAGAAGAGCACAAGGCCCACATGGCCAGCTTTTCACACCTCTGCTGTGAGGGTCTATTTCATGATAGTGTCTTGTATTGGGCAGAAAACAAGCTGCAGAGCCAGACGGCCCTGAGTTCGAGTTCCACCTTTGTTACTTCCTTACCTGCTGATACTGAATGTTGTGATCTGAATGTGTGTGTCACCCTTCAAATTCACATGTTGGAATCCTAATGCTCAATGTGATGGCGCATAAAGGTTGGGTTTTAGGAGGTGATTTAGTCATAAGGATAGAGCCCTCATGAATGGGATTAGTGCCCTTATAAAAGAGATGTCCCAAAGCTCCCTTGCTCCTTCAGCCATGATGATACAATGAGGCATTTGTGACCTGGAAGAGGGTCACCCCACCATGCTGAGATCCTGATCTCCAGAACTGAAAAATAGATATGTGGTATGTTGTTATAGAAGCTGAAACAAACTAAGACAATGGACAAGTCTTTGAGCCTGATCAGACTTCATTCTAATTCTAAAAGTAACTATGCTTCCCTTTTGGGAGGGATAAATGAAAAATTATGTGTAGTGTCTAACACAGAATCCAGGTATTCAAATGTTCATGCTCTTGTCTATTTCCTCTGGTAAGCTTTGAAAAGAATAAGGTTTCATGCCAGATAATGAAGAACATATACGTGTCAGAGAAGATGAAGGTAGATACTCCAGGTAGAGGGAAAAGAGTGAGCAATGATATAGAGACCAGAGTTGGGGACTGTGCCTTCCTAGCTCTAATGCTATTTCTAGGCACCTGCCCTCTGTATCAAAGAATGCCCTCTGATGGCCATCCACTACCACCTTCTACCTTTCCACAAATTGTTCTCTGACAACTTCCCCTGCTTCTTGTCTAAAACAGCACTTCTCAATTCTCTCTTTTCATAGTAAATGCACTGCAATATCCCATTTGTATTCTAAATGGACTTCACGGCTAATATAACTTATAAGTACATATAATTCCTTCTTCCAAATTAATATAATGCCCTAACTATAATAGATGAAATATAAACAGGTAATTTATGACAAAATAATCTGTATTTTAATATGTAAATGTTCAGGCACAACTGTATAGAAAACCTAGTGAAGTCAGATGTTTATACTTACTTATTCTATATAATAAAAGTCTAATATGCTAAGTGTCTAGTTATCTGTTCAACCAATCAAAACATAATATCCTAATGAATATGCTAAGGCTGCTCAACTGCTCACTATGACATGCACTGACCACCAGGAAGAAGACACTCCAACTGGTAGGTTAGCTTGCTGCTGGAGTCCAGCCGATTGGGACTGAGATGGGCCAGACATACCTTGGAGACCTCCCATGGTCCCTCTGAGGCTGGGCAACCTCCCGAGTCTCTCCATGGCCCCAATCATGCACCGGTGGGGTCCCTCAGCCTGGTCTGTCCCCTCTTGTAATTCGGGAACCCTTGAGGGATGTCAGAGAGTCGGTTTCAGCCCGATCCCGCAGGCCAGGTCGAGGGATCCCACTGGTACATGAATTCATGCACCAGGCCTTTAGTAATAAATAAGTTTTATTTATTAGTAAATAATAATAATAGAAAGATCAGGAGCTATTCTGCACAAAAAAGTACACAAAGGCTTCTTGTCAAGATGACAGTGTAGGTAAGTAAACATTGTGATCACCTCCCACAAACACATCAAAATTACAACTAAACTACAGAACCATTACTGAGAACCCATCTGAAGTCTAGCTGAATAGAAGTTTTATAACTAAAGATGTACAGAAGTCAAATCACGATTGGTAGGAGGGGCAGAGACATAGAATGGGCTGCTTCCACACCTACTTATGGCAGTTAAAAATTGGGAGGATATCTCATCTGTAGACACCCCCGAAGGACTAGGGGTCCCAGCCACACACTAGGCTCCCCAGCCCAGGGTTCCAATGCCAGAAAGAAAAGTCCCCATAATTTCTGGCTTAAAAATCAGTGCGGATTGTGGCTGAGAGACAAAGGGTTGCTGGAGTTCCAGATGTTCCTCTTAAAGGGCCATGCATTGACTTCCTCAGACTTACTTGCTCTGAGCTCCAATGTTGGGACTGTAGCTCCAAAGGCACCAGGGATATAGGGGGGAGGAATGAATTTGTCTGGCTTTGGGGCAAGAGCTGGAGGAGCAGCTATCTCCCAGACAGAAGGGCTGGCAGAAGATACCATTCCTTTGTTGAGCCCTCCGATCCAGCTTTTCTGAGTTTCCATCAGCTTGGCTAAGATGTTTTTGCCCTACTCGGGTGATTTCCCTTCCAGCCTTCAAACCCACTAAAGGTGCTTCCAGTGGCATTTCCATATGAATGGCCTGTCTTGGCTCATGCTGCAGATTTTCTTAAAATCTCTCAAAAGTTCACAAAACTAAACAAGCAGCATCTGACCTTGATATGCCCTATAAGTCTTGCTAAGCATCCCCAAGCCTGGCACTGAGGTAGCCACCTCAATTTGCAGCTTAGCCTCTATCAGGCACCTCCAAGCTCAGCTAAGTGGCAATCATCTCCAGATCACTTAATAGCTCTCACCAAGTGGTTCTGGGTAGGTAGGGGACAGGCAGCAACTGAACTAGGCCTGCACCAGAGCTCCTCTCAAGAGACCTCAACACACCTGGTGGCCAGCTTCAGCCCACACCAGAGCACCATCCAACCTCCTCCAGAAACAATATTACCAAAAGGCAAACTTAGCAGCCACCCGAGCCCTGCTAAAGTGAATTCTGCTCCATAGGGTGGCCCCTGCAAAAAAAAGCTACTCTACTACAGTCATTGCCACTTCTCACAACCAATGAGTCTGAGGGTTACTCCCTCCCATTGGTACCAACATCAATCAAGGCTCAATTACAACAGGAGGGTACAAACAATTCACACAGAGATTCACCTGAACTACATGGCTCAGGTGACCAAGACACTATGCCAATAGGCCCCACAGGATACACTCCATATAAGGCTACTTTACAAGACTGGGAGACATAGCAGCTCTGCATAATACATATTATAAAAAATAAAACGAAAGATAAAACACACACACACATACAAAACAACAACAACAACAACAACAAACCCCAGAAGGTAGCCAAAAAGAGAAGACAAAGAAACATACCCCCTGAGAAAGAAACCCCCGCCCCAGAAAAGAACTAAACAAAAAGGAGACAAGCAATCTCCGAGATGTAGAGTTCAAAACACTGGTAATAGGGATGATAAATGGTCTCAGTGATAACTGAAAGAGATAGGACACATAAAAATGGAGATAAAAAAACAAATAAACAAAAAATAACCAGTCAAAAATGAAGAATACAATAACTGAAGTTAAGAATACATTATAAGGAATCAACAGTAGACTAGAGGAAGCAGAGGACTGAATCAGCAATTTGAAAGACAAATAGCAGAAAACACCAAATCAGAACAACAAGAAAAAATAATTTTAAAAAATGAGGATAGCTTAAGGGACCTCTGGGACAACATCAAATGTACCAACATTTGTATCACAGGGGTACCAGAAAGAGCAAAGAATGGGAAACCTATTTGAACAAATAATACTTGGAAAACTTCCCTAACATGGTGAAGGAAATAGACATATAAGTCCATGAAGCACAGAGAGTCCCAAACAAGATAAATCCAACAACAACAACAACAACAACAACAACAAAACCCCACACCAAGACACATCATGATTAAAATGCAAAAAGTTAAAGGTAAAGAGAGAATCTTAAAAGCAGCAAGAGAAAAGCAGTTAGTTGCCTCCAAGGGAGCACCCATATGACTCAGCTGATTTCTCAGCAGATATTTTGAAGGCCAGAAATAATTGGCATGAAATATTCAAAGTGATGAAAAGCAAAGATCTACAACCAAGATTACTCTGTCCAACAAAGCTATCATTTAAAATCAAAGGAAAAATAAAGAGCTTCCCAGACCAGAAAGAGCTAAAGGACTTCATCACCATCAAA